TTACCTGAATTGCCACTGTCTTAAGCTTAATTGTGCCAAATTACAAATCCTATAACAAAAGACTGTTTAAAAATCTCAAAGATGTATCAGGTAACAACACTTTCCTATCTAAAATGCTCTGAAAGCTTCTATTGCACTAATAAAAAGTCCAAACTTTTCACATCATCTTACATAGCCTTCTGTGATCTAGATCCCAGCTGATCTCTCCAAACCCACCCTCATAACATTCTCTACTTTGTTCTCTAAGCACCAGCCACAGTGGACCTTTTTTCTGTTCTTCGAATATGCCAAACTCATAAACTTGTCCCTGCATTAGTAACTTAGCACCACCTCTTCCCTATCTGGGAAAGCCATTCTTATGATCAAGGCACTGCAGACTCTTTCTCATTTAATCCCTGATTAAATGTTAGCTTCTTAGTAAAGAGTTTCCCTGAACACGCAATCTAAAGAAACCATATTGTCACTCTATTATATTTCTCTCCACAGAACTTATTATTTCGTGTTTTACTTGTTAATTATTAGTCTTTGTCCCATCAGAATGTAAACTACAGAAGTAGAAGGATCTTGTCTGTTTTGTTAATCACTGTATCAACCATGTCTACAACATAGTAGGCTCAATAAACACTTGGAATAAAATGTATGCCAAAAAGCAGTATGTAATGAGAAGTGCATTTATCATTTCAAACAACTGCACAGATATTCAATGTCATTACTAAGGATGGTGATGCTGCCAAAACTGAACCATTGGCCACCACGCAGAACCATCATATAGTAATCCAAAATTTTGTCAGCCAATGTAAAAATATCAAAATTCAAGTATTTAAAGTCACTTAGACTTGTTCTTATTTATTGGACAGGTTGGCTGGAAACTGAATACACCTAGACTTTCCAATTGGTTCACTATCTTACTATCTAGTCTTTTCCTAGTGTTTCCATGTGCCATCACTATTTTTCTTATAGGAGATTTTATTATATGGCAAGATGAGTTATTTTTTTTCTTCCCCCATTTATTCTTGGTTAAAAAAAGATAAGTCTATTACTCTTCTCAAATACTCTTCTAAATGAATTTAGAATCAATTTGTTAAATTTCTTAAAATAACAACAAATTCATTGAGATTCTGACAAGAATTACATTAAATTCACTTTATCTTAAGGAGCACAGGCATTGAATAACAAAGTCTTATGCCAACAAGGAACATAATATATGCCTCAGATTAGGTTCTTTAGATACATTTATAAGGAATTATTCATTATTAACTTTATTAGTATTTAGTTTTAGTTGCAACTGTGAATATTTTGGCCTCTCCAATATATATTTCAATTGATTAGAGGTCAAATTATTATTAGTATTGTAGTCTGTCATCTTGCTCCACTCATTATGTCTAAGAGTTCAGACAACTCTTATTCCAAGGAAGGTAGTTATCATCTGAATATAATTTTATTTTCAGATACTTCAGATAGCAATTTATGGTGCTATTATGAATGAATTCCAAATCTCCAAAAAACAGTTTAGCAGTACTTATCAAAAGCATTAAAAACATTTGGATTCTTGGCAAAAAAGTCCTTTTCTAGAGATTTATTCTAAGAGATGCAAACAAAGTTTTTCATCGGTGTGATATATATATAACATTAAAAAACAACCAGAAATGGGCTAATGGGTAAATAAGTTTTATTTATATATATATGTATATATATATCCACAACAAGTTATTATATAGTCATTAAAAAGTATTCTTTAGAAGCCAACTTAATGACAAGAAAAAATGCTCAGGACGTGTTAGGTGAAAATTCAGAATACATAGCTTCATTTTCATTATGACTACACATATGCTAAATATATTAAAAAGTGCACAGAAAAAAAAAGATTGGAAAGAAATGTATCAAAATCCTAATAATGTAATTTTCTATTATGAGAACTTAAAAAATTATAAATTCTCTAACTATACTTGTCTTTTCACACACACCCTATAAGTAAGCATTTCTAGTATTTCATGTTTTTATTATATTCTTTTTACCTTCTTGCCTTTTTTATTTCAAAATTCTCTATAATATGTACATATATTCTGCAATTTAAAAAGTACTTTAAAAATGTTTTAAATTCAAAAGCCACTATGTGCTTCAGTTTTATAATAGGTCAACAGATTCTTTATCAGGGAGAGGAAAAAAAGGCAGTTCAAATATCAGATTAAATTTTCTAGGTTACTGGTGCTACCAACACACACCGTATTTATGACCCATGTGTCCATGAGTCAGAAAAGAATTTAAGTCATTGAAGTTGTCAGTTGCTCACAACACAGAGTTGGCAGCAATTTTTTTTAAGTCTGCAAGTTCCGTATCTTAATATTGTTATTTATTTATTCTAGTTCGGTTTTAAGCATAAAACATACTTCAATGTGCTTAGTATATAGTAAAAGCAGAAAAAACCTGGAAGAGAGTAACCTTCTACAACTACCTAGCTTTTATTAGATAAATCATTCTCCTATAAGTAAATCATTTATTTCAGAGACTCACTGTCCCTCATGTGGTAAGAGATAAATAAAAAAGATCTTCTATTACTCTTCAAAGATCAGAAAAAAGATGTCATTTACTATTCACTAGAAAGAAAAGACTATTTGAAAAAAAATGTATCAGTAAAATCTACTGATTATACAAAAGCTCTTCTTAGTTGATCTCTGATAAAGATAAACACAAAATTTTAGGTAGGTATCTAAAAGATTATGGGCTAAATTCAGGCTAACAGTAACTAAGTTGCTGAATAAAGCACTTGGTTATATTTGTTACAAGGTCTTTTATAAACAGCTGCTGCTTGACATTTAGTTTTCAAGATCTGTAGAGTCCCTTGATGTAATCTTAGCACAAAAGACTGAACGAATTCCAATGTCTATTACAATGAAATGTTCAGAAATTTCAAATTTATTATAATGTATAAGTCAGTTTTAAATAATTATCTCATTTGTTCTTCACAAAACTCTTTTAAAATTGGGCAAATACTATTATTCCCATTTTATAGCAAATAATGTGCCTAGTTGTTATGTTAGCTATTTAATTATGTATCTGACTCCTATTCCAGTATTATTCCAACAAGAATGTAAACTCCAATAGGGCAGGTATGTCTGTCTGCCTCTAAAAGAGTGCCTGGCTCATACAGTCACTTAAATATTTGCTGAATATATCAATGAATACATTTCCACCACAGAAATAGGCATAAGAAGTCAAAACAGTCGAAAAACCACAAATCCTCTCAGGCTATTATAAAAAGAATAATTTATCTTTCTGTTATTCTGGGAATATAACTGTATCTACATTTTAATTACAATAACATACAGGAAAGAATCTGTTTATTTGGCTAAGCCAAGAGTCTGTTTCATATGTGTGATTTTACAAAGAATTATTTAATATATATTTCTGGCAATTTTATTAAAATATCTTATAAATGACCTTAGTAAAAAAAATAGTCACTTAGGAGTTATAAATTAAAAATATATAAAATGAATCATCTCTATCTGGCACGAAATAATGATTTACTCAAAGAAAAAAACTGACACAATAGGAAAATACTTTTTTCCTAGGAAATAGGTAAGTAAAATATTTGCACAACCCATTTGTTTAAAACACGTAAGACTTGTCAAGTATTTGACAACTATAAAATATGCTTAATATTTTGCTAGAAGGATCACCTTGAAATTTGTATTTCAGAAACTTGGTGTTCATGAAGTAATGTGGAACACATGCATTTTACAAAATAGTGCAGGTTGTCCTCTCTACCACCTTTATACCTTTAAACAAAATTAAAGAGTTAAAGTTAAAGAATTACAATTATGGAATGTCCCTTCTTTTGACACTCACAAATTACATGAAATCATTGCTTTAATACAAAGGCTTTTAAACTGTTTGGGTAGAGAGTGAGGAGTTTTCTCAAAGGACTTTTGAGAATCTCATCAAAACAAGAAAAAAAATGCACATGCACAAAAAAATTCTGCATACATATCTCCAGGGAGAAGCTACTCTTACAGACACTTGCTTTAAAACAATTAAAACTATTTCATTATTCAAAGAAATATGTATTCTTAAAGCCTTTTTTATGTCATCTATATTATTTTAATTTCTCTTAAAAGAATAAATATGTATCTGTCAATGTTCTTACAAGAGGAACAAATAGTGATAGAAGAAGGTTGGTCACAATATTCTGTTACAAATTTTTGAGTCAGAATAGAATACATCTGATGTTTAAAGTTCTAACTTCAAGCTTAAGGTGTTTTAATCCCATTTCTCTCTTGCTCCTACCAGTCTACTAAAATGTAAAAACAGGAGTGTTGTCACTAAAATATAAGAACAAATGTTTTGTAATGTGCCTGAAAGCAACTTTACTACTAGGGCACTGTAATATTCTATTTTTAAAGGAAAGTAGTCACATACCAGCATAAATATATAATAATTATTCATAGAAAAATGTATATTGAGAATGATGCTGAAATATCACCCACATAAACCAAATATCATGTTGTTACTTTTAACAAGTTTTCTTTTATTATAGAGAGAATTGTTGCTATTAGAAGATAGTAAGGGTGGGGCGGGAGAGAATAGGGCGAGGTTAGCTAACAAATACCAAATTACACCAAGATAGGAGAAATGAATTCTGGTGTTTTGCAGCACTGTAGGGTAAATATGGCTAACTATAATTTATTATATATTTTCAAAGACCTACATTACAAGAGAGGATTTTGAATTCACAACACAAAAAGGAAGATAAATGTTTGAGGTGATAGATATGCTAATTACCCAGATTTGATCATTAAACATTATATACATGTATTGAAATATAACTCTGTATCCCATAAATATGCACAATTATTATGTGTCAAATAAGAATAAAAGGAAAAAAATTTAAATTAATAAGCTTTAACAATGAACTCTAATTCAATGGATATTTTTCAAAGCATATAAATAGCTTGATATTTAACTGCTTATTCATGCTCTAATTTCATCAATGTTAAGCTTACCTTTCTTTTCGGTCCAGATTGCTTAAAACATGAAAAAGAAAAAAAATGTAAGAGGAAAGACCTCATTGTTGACATAACATTGTATTTGTAGTAACTTAGTCAATTAAGACAAAACTATAATGTGATCAATTTGTTTTAAACACATATTATATATATTTACTATGTTTTGAATCTTGTCTAAATTGTTTTCAATTTTTTGTCAATATACACAATAATTTAACCTAAACAATCTTTAATATTTAATAGGAAAAAAAGATGACTATACATAACTATGAAAAACTCCTGAAAGGGCTTTATGTACCTATCAAACATTTGAGGATATAAGTAGTCCCCTGACTTATCCTCAGGGGATACATTCCAAGACACCAGTGGGTGCCTGAAACCATGGATAGTACCAAATCTATCTACTGAAAATGAAGCACTGGTAGAAGCATTCCATAAACAAAATGGCTGTCACCCATGCTTTCTGATTTATGTTGCGAGAACATGGGAAGATTATTTTTATTTTTGTTTTTGAAAGTATTTGAGTTCTTTGCTCTGTACATTACACCTAGCTTTATCATATGCCCCATAGCATTGCCACATAGTACCAGAATTAATCTGTATATTCATGTTTTGTTTTTTTTTTGAGACAGAGTTTTTTTTTTGAGACAGAGTCTCACTTTGTTGTCCAGGCTAGAGTGAGTGCCGTGGCGTCAGCCTAGCTCACAGCAACCTCAAACTCCTGGGCTCAAGCGATCCTCCTGCCTCAGCCTCCCGAGTAGCTGGGACTACAGGCATGTGCCACCATGCCCGGCTAATTTTTTCTATATATATCAGTTGGCCAATTAATTTCTTTCTATTTATAGTAGAGACGGGGTCTCGCTCTTGCTCAGGCTGGTTTTGAACTCCTGACCTTGAGCAATCCGCCCGCCTCGGCCTCCCAAGAGCTAGGATTACAGGCGTGAGCCACAGCGCCCGGCCTTGTATATTCATGTTTTATGCCCTGGTGTCTCCTTTGTACTTTTATGAATTAGTATGTACTTCCTTGCCTGAACATTATAATGAACATTATAACATTATAATCTCTGAAAATTCAATACTGATATCATAGCAAACTTAGAAACAATCTCAGTATCTACTAATAGGGCAATGATTAAATTAAATACTTTTTGGACTGCAGTTGACCACTGGTAAATGTAACTTCAGAAATCAAAACCATTAAAGGGAGAAGAGGGACTACTGTAGTAGTATGTAAACCGTTTTCAAGGAACAATAAAATTTCCTAAAAGCTATAAATTTTTTGGTAGTTCCAATCCTAATCATATCAGGTATGATTATTTGATTTTGAGTAAGAAAAAAAGTTTTAAGGCTGAAACTTCTGTACAAAAGTCTTAGATTAAATACAGTATATGATTTGGGATACAAGGAAAGGCCTGCAATTTAAAATCATGGCCTTTATTGCAAGCGCAATGTATAAAGTTCTACCTCTCTCCACAGTTCGTAGAAACTCCAAAAAGCTATCAATATCTGTTACTCAAGAGTAAAATTATGTAAGTACTCAACTTAGAATAAAACAAGATTCACATCCTAAAATTATTCCACTTTATTATGAAAGGGAACTAAATATTCAGCACTATAAGCAAAGCATAGTTTAAAAAATCCTCAAATCCCCATATTAGCTCATATATTCCTATCATGTGGTGTATCAATTCAATCCTAGCCAATTAAGAAGAAAGAAATATGGTAACTTCTTTTTACATAAACAATATTCACAAAAAACATGTATGTAAGAAAATTTCAACAGTAAGGAAAAGAAGCATAAATTTATATTATCGTGTGAAATTTTACCTTTGTGATTAAAAAAGAAAAACTTGGCCGGGCGTGGTGGCTCACGCCTGTAATCCTAGCATTCTGGGAGGCCGAGGCGGGCGGATTGCTTGAGGTCAGGAGTTCGAAACCACCCTGAGCAAGAGCAAGACCCCGTCTCTACTATAAATAGAAATAAAATTAATTGGCCAACTAATATATATAGAAAAAAATTAGCCGGGCATGGTGGCACATGCCTGTAGTCCCAGCTACTCAGGGAGGCTGAGGCAGGAGAATTGCTTGAGCCCAGGAGTTTGAGGTTGCTGTGAGCTAGGCTGACACCACGGCACTCACTCTAGCCTGGGCAACAAAGTGAGACTCTGTCTCAAAAAAAAAAAAAAAAAAAAAAAAAAAAAAACTTACACAAAATAAATCTGTGTTGGCTAACTGACAAAAAATGTGTGGGAATATTATCACATCCCTTTAAAGTAAGTGAAGCAAAATATAAATATAAAAGTTTAAATGTAATCTACCTTATCCTATATATTTATTTCTTATGGAAATGTATTTCTAGGAAAAGTAAAATGAAAACCACAAGTTAGGCATTAATAACTAATATAGCCATTTCTAATTCTATACTGTTGGGCCCAAGAAGTGAGAATAGTTTAATTCTCTTCTGTTTTTGTTGTTTTTCAAACTCACCTGTATAAAGGCAAGAAGAAGTAGAAGAAACAGCTTCGGTACTTCCCAATAAACCAAGGGAGTTAGTAAGACCAAAACACACACACACACACACCCCTACACTCAACTGTCTTATAATATCTAATTTGTAAGTCGTAGCATTTTACAAGTGTCTTCAATATGTTTATTATCAAGTCTTATCCTACAAGGGCTTATATATTAAAAAAATACATAAAAAATGAGGAAGTCATTATAGTAATACACGACTTTGTAAAAAAATATCAGTTCACATTCCTAATGAACTACTTCATACAAAATGGAAAGGAAAAATTACCTTGAACTAGTGCTGTACTATTGGTCTTTAAATTAAGAAAGGAAAGAAAGGAAAGAAAGGAAAGAAAGGAAGAAAGGAAGAAAGAAAGAGGCTCATTAATTCTGATATCCATGACCTGAGTTAGGACTTCAAAAATTCATTCAAACTGGTGCTTTTCATTAATAATCTTGCTTATTCTAGGAAATTATTTTCCCATTTATGGATTATATATGCTTTTGCAGAAAGACATTCATCTTCCTTTATGGTCCTTATAAATCTTTTCATCTACCCTTAAAAAGCCCTGCTAAGGTGAAAATGTAAATAAAACAAACTCATAAAATGTGTTGTTTTAGCAATTTGATTAAAGTTAGGGGTGGGGATAGTACATAGATTTTGAAATTTCTGCATTTTGTTTTTTTTCCATTCTAATACTATTCTCCTCTATCACTATTAGTGTATAAACAACCTTTTATTTTTATTTATTTATTTTTAGACAGTCTCACTCTGTTGCCCGGGCTAGAGTGCCGTGGTGTCAGCCTAGCTCACAGCAGCCTCAAACTCCTGGGCTCAAGCGATCCTTCTGCCTCAGCCTCCCTAGTAGCTGGGACTACAGGCATGCACCACCATGCCTGGCTAATTTCTTCTATATATTTTCAGTTGGGCAATTAATTTCTTTCTATTTTTTAGTAGAGACGGGGTCTCACTCTTGCTCAGGCTGGTTTAGAACTCCTGAGCTCAAATGATCTGCCCATCTTGGCCTCCCAGAGTGCTAGGATTACAGGCGTGAGCCACCACACCTGGCCCAACCTATCTTTTAAATAGCAATTAAATTAACATTTGGAATAGCAATAAGAAAACAGATTGAAATTTTAATTACATCTCAAAGACTAGCTAATCTTCTGTGATAGTTTAACAATTTTCACTTATTCTTTATAGATTAAAAAAAGTGTGAAGCACTTGTTTCCATGTTTTACTATAAAGGAGTACAAATTACACAGAATGTAGGTCTAATTTACCTAAAAGACAATTTATACCACTTGCCCCCAAAATACTCTTTGCATGAATTACTAAACTAGTGGCAATTCTTTTCATTTCAAATTAAGACTGGAGAAAATAAGCAAAATTTAGGAGAAACCATAAAAGCCAATGTGTTCACCCTCACCTGAGGCCTGATAATTGTGGTAACTGCTTGGTAACCACCATCTTAGGTAAAGTTTTTATTCATGCCTCTGAAAATGGGATTTCTACTACATGGACATGGAGTGTCCTTTTCTACTTGGGACACTCTCAAAAGCTCCTTTAATCCTTCCTTTGTGAATTCTTCCCTTCTCTGTAATATTACTCTGTAATATATTTTGTATTCTCTACTACTGTATTTACCATGTATTCATTTGTTTACTTGTCTTTCTGTACCTTAATTAATCTCTACCCTAAGCAAATCTGAACTTCAAGGACAGGAATTCTGTCATATTCATCTTTTTTTTTTTTTTTGAGACAGAGTCTCACTTTGTTGCCCAGGCTAGAGTGAGTGCCGTGGCGTCAGCCTAGCTCACAGCAACCTCAAACTCCTGGGCTCAAGTGATTCTCCTGCTTCAGCCTCCCAAGTAGCTGGGACTACAGGCATGTGCTACCATGCCCAGCTAATTTTACATATATGTGTATGTGTATATATATATACATATATATATATATATGTTAGTTGGCCAATTAATTTCTTTCTATTTATAGTAGAGACGGGGTCTTGCTCTTGCTCAGGCTGGTTTCGAACTCCTGGCCTCGAGCAATCCACCCGCCTTGGTCTCCCAGAGTGCTAGGATTACAGGCGTGAGCCACCAAGCCTGGCCATTACAGGCATGAGCCAACGCGCCCAGCCATATTCATCTTTGAATACTTCAAAGATGCACTTCATCTATGATTGGTGTATAGCAGGAAATCACTCAATGTTTTTGAAGGAAGAAAAATTTAAAACTCAAAATGACTTGTTTCTGAATATCAAAATCTTTTTAATGATAGCCACACCACAGTTGGAATAAGAAATGTTTATTCTTATACAGAATAAATAAAAGACAAATAAGTAGAATTTGTCCTGCTGACTTGACCCTTTATAGTTTTCTTTACTGCCCCTAATCATTCTTGTGAAGTATTTCACTCATATCGATTATTTATTTATTTATTTATCTAGAGACAAGGTCTCACTCTATCACCCAGGCTGGAATGCAGTGGCAGGATCATAGCTCACTGCAGCCTCGAACTCTTGGACTCAAGCAATCCTGTTTCAGCCTCCCTAGCAGCAGGGACTACAGGCATACACCACTATGCCCAAGTAATGTTTCTTATTTTCTGTAGAGAATAGGTATCACTATGTTGCCCACGCTGGTCTAGAGCTCCTGGCCCCAAGAGATCCTCCTACCTTGGACTCCCACAGTGCTGGGATTACAGGCATGAGACACTGTGCCTGGCCCATTTTTTTAAAATACAAATGAATTTAGGTTATTATTGTTTTTTAAGAAACAATATTTCACTAGAAATACTATTAATAGTTCTTATTAAGTGAATCTAGTCATTGACGAAGATGAGCAATGACACACAAAGTATAATAGGTGCTTAGACCTGGAATAAAACAGAACGCAACCCAATTTCCAAACTGTAATCTATTTTTTTTAACATTACCAACAAGGAAATGAGAAATGGAGAATAACAGGTCACAGTGCAAATAATTCTAAACTAATTAATAACTTCAAAGGCAACAATAATAATTTTGGTTACAAATGTATCATTTAACTTGATTAGTATTTCAACTTTCATTTTTAGAATGTCAAGAAGACATCTTTATCAACAATGGTTTCTATTAGTATTTTCAGTGATCAGTATGTGAGAAAGAGTATCTCCTCTTCCTCCCTCCCTTAATAACTTTCATCATTTATTCTCATGTTTGTGCCACATGCAGGTCAGAGAGCTTGATTTGTTTGTGTACCTTGCAATAGAGCAAGCCAATTTTTGGTATGTGCAGTAATTTCTCTTTCCATCCTTTTAGTTGAATTTTTCAAGTATCTATGTGAAGACTATGATAAAATAGTTAAGCAAAAGAAAGAGAAATATTAAGGTTTTTAAGTCAAAAATCTATGTTATAGCAAATCTATGTAAATAGCAAATATAGCAAGGGTTCCTAAAGTTAAGGACACGTTTCCTGAATGAGTAGCCTAGACTGACATTCAAAGAGAATGAAGAATAGCATCCAAAATATATACCAAATCTTTAAATCTTACTAGTTATAAAAAATTCTTTATAATGCAATAAATAGATTATGTATTTAACTGTTGGAGCCTAAGAATTTGAGTCAACTGAAAATGGATGTAACATTCCAAAAATGGTTCTGAAAAACCTCAGAAGTATTTAAAATGCCAAGTTTTCCTCAACTGTTACTATCATTATTTCAAGGTTCAAGCAGTAGTTTCAAGATCAATGAGAACTCATCAATCTAACTAAAACTACTAAAAATAAAAATTTTCTCAAATATTTTAAACTAATAAGGTGATTTATTTTGTTATTATAGAATCTTATAAACTAAGGTAAGATTTAGTTAATGGCTGTAGTTTTAGTCTCCCAGGCTAACCCACCAACTGAAGATATCTTAGTCAAACATTGTAAAGTCAATGTTAAAAATTTAATTTAAATATTTTCTTGATCTTCTAGACTATAATACAATAGAATGGCTCTTACCTAAAAATTCTTACAGAATGTGATTAATTCAAAAGCAAATATAAAATAATAAAATTCCACATTATTAATTATTTCAGAAATATATCTTCTTATGGAGAGTGAAAACAGTGAAGTTTCACAAAGAAAAAAATTATTTTTAAAAAAAACTTCATTAAGGAGGACAGTATGTACAAAGGCAATTAGAATCCTTACCTTTGGGCTGCTGTTTTTACTCCTGGTATCTGCCCATGAGCATGGTGAAAACGTCTACCATGAACTACAGTTCCAGAACATAATGATGCATTTTGTGTATTTTCACTGCAGATTCAAGAAACAAAAAATTATTTGAACAGGGAAAAATTACATATACATTTATGAAATAAATCCTTTAAAATATGAGCACATACAGAGAAACCTTTACCATTAAAAAAATTATTTAAAGATAAACCCAATTGGCAATGTTAAACTGTCCATTAGAAGTTCTCCACTTCCTGCATTAGTCTTTCAAATAAATGTTTCTAATCGAGTTTTTTTTTTAAAAAAGTAGAATACTAGAATAGAAATCAGGAGTCCTAAATTCTACTAATTCTGCCAATGACTTGAAAGTTACTTAGCCTTTATGTACCTCAGTTGTCTATGTATAAACTGACACATAAAGTAGTAATTTTGAACCTTATTCCCAGGTTGTTACTGATAGACCAATCCTATCAGCAGTGGTTCACTATGTCAACCACTAGGAAAGGTGGGCTATATCTGGAAGAGAAGAGGAATAGAAATCTTAAAAAAAAAAAAAAAAATTAAAAAAAGTTCCTCGCGAACATAATCTTGATTAGCATCTTCTAAGACCACCCCAACACTATGCTGCCATCTACTTATCATATTATGACTAAGATTCTGCTAACTGTATGAAAGCAAACTCATGAGATCCCAGCCTACTGAAATGTTTCTTGCAATATGTTTTATTTAGAATGAAGAAATCATTGCAATCAACCCTACTCTCAAGATTCAAAGCAATGAATCCACATACTGGAACATCCTATCTCTTAACCCTACTGACAAATTCAAAAGAAATGGTATAGATTGGGCAGATTGGCCACAAAGGTAGTTAGCTTTTGGTGTCAAACCCTTTCTTTATCTTTTCTGTAGGAATGTGTGGTGAAGCACCTATACCTCAATTTCTTATTGTTGCTCAACATGTTAAGTCCAATTGAGTTGCCTTTCAAAGTTTTAAAACTTTCAGTCTTGTTGCGCCTTACATATGTCTTCAAGAAGAAATCACCAGAACTAGTAGCAACAATTCCAGATCGACGATTTAACTGTAAAAAAGATCCATAAATGTTAAAGAGTCAATAAACACCATAATAAGATAATCTATCAACAACTACTTGAAAACCCATTTTAAAAAACAGTAGTAAAAAGGTACAGCTACTAGGGGTGAGGGAGAGGGGTAGCACTGGCATGGATCGAAGGCCAATTCAACTGTTAATACTTTTTTCCTAGGGTTCCTAGAGTTCATGTAAATCTCTCCAAAGATATTTGAGAAAGTAAGGGCAGAGGATCTTAGTACAGCTTTCTCCAGAGAGTAAATAATAAGTATTTCTTCTGTTTAACAGGCTTTCTTGCTATCTGTGAAACAATACCACCAAATATGGCAATCAGATGTCATTTTAAGTTGTGCTTTTCTATAACGACTTTTGCCTTAACATTAATGTTTTGATAGAAACACAGAAACTAAGATAAACACAGATACTGAGATAATGTCTTTATACTTTTACAGGTGCAAATAATAACCATCACCTTGGGGAGATCACAGTATAGCAGGATGCCCCCCAACCTCTTCTCAACAAAGAAACATGCCTTTGTTACAGTCATTGCACAAGACATACAAAAGATGACTTCAGAATCTTTAAGACAAAAAATTCCTCAGTTGTTAGTGATAATTTCCCCCCCAAAATTAAAAAATCATTTTTATCTACTATGTATTTTATATTTGAAACAATAGCTTAATATTATTTTTACTCTTTTACAAGAAAATATACTAAGAATGTGAACAATTTTTTCCTCAGATATTTTTTTTTAAATTAATGTAATTTAAAAAAAAAATTTTGAGATAGTCTTACTATGTTGCCTAAGCTGGAGTCCTGAGGCTACTCATTGGCACAAACACAGCACACTACAGCTTTCAACTCGTGGCCTCAAATAATCCTTCCACCTTACCAGAATAGCTGGGACTATAGGCACTGTGCCTAGCTTTCCCCAGTTATTTCTATAGAAACTCCACAGTGCGCTCAAATAAAAATATCTCTCATTTAAAAAGCCCTCCTGAGGAGAGAGTTCATTATGCCAACACCATTCTTATTTATGGCATAACTACATTCCATAATCCAAAATTATCCATTTTTGACACACTGTTTATCACTTTCTCCTCCTTGAGCATTTCTTTATTTCCTAATCTCTTATGAGATTAACAGACTATCAGGAACAAGAAACCCAGAGAGCTGAGCCCAGACATGAGGCTACTTTCCCATGAGGCACCTGTGGATTCCAGAAGATGTAGCTGAGGGGTTGAGAAGCTGAGCTTAAACTTCCAACAGACTCACATAGCTAGGGAGACAAAAGTAGAGTCCTACATCAACCAAAAACAGAAGGCCTCAAACACCTCAAAATTTGGATTAGGGGCCAGGCACAGGGACATGCACCTGTAGTCCTAGCTGAGGCTGGCAGGTCACCTGAGCATAGAAGTTAAAGTCCAGCCTAAGCAACATAGTGAGAGACCCTGTCTCAAAAACAATTTTTTTTTTTTTAATTAAAAAATCTGGATTAGAGGCCAGGCTCGGTGGCTCACGCCTATAAACCTAGCACTCTGGGAGGCTGAGACGGGCAGATCGCTCGAGGACAGGAGTTTAAATCCAGCCTGAGCAAGAGCGAGACCTGTCTCTACTAAAAATAGAAAGAAATGAATTGACCAACTAAAAATATATATACAAAAAATTAGTCAGGCATGGTGGCACATTCCCAGCTACTCGAGAGGCTGAGGCAGCAGGATTGCTTGAGCCCAGGAGATTGGGGTTGCTGTGAGCTAAGACGCCATGGCACTCATTCTAGCCTGGGCAAGAAAGTGAGACTGTCTCAAAAAAAAAAAAATCTGGATTAGGCTTAGAGCCTACAAATAAGGGTGAATTAGAACTATTATAGCACTCATGGACTGAAATTCAGTTTCCAACCATCTCAATTCCCAGTTGGATTAAGGTAGTTGCTCCCAAATTTTAGAGTAGACAAGAATTATCTGTATGATTTATTAAAACAAATTGTTATGCCCCACCCTTATAGTTTCTTCTGATTCAGTAGTTCTCAGGTGGGCCTGAGAATCTGCACATCTAAGTTCCCAGTTGATGTTGATACGCTGATCAGGGGACCACATTTGAGTATCAATGGAATAACATAATTTGACATTGGTAGTGCTCCTAGTCACTAGGACTAAAGTCACAAGTACTTTAGCAAATGTATATCCTCTCTAGAGGAAGAGATTATCCTAGGCCACAAATTAACTCTATTTTTTATATGCAGTACCTACCATTCCTAAGAAAGAAGAAAATGTAATCAAAAATCAGGAGAAAAAACTGATAATAGGAACAGAACTACAGGGGATAAAGATAACAGGTTAACATGGTACTTCATTACCCTTAGTAGGAGAATATAATCACTTCTGGATTTGATCACCTTTTTATACAGAAAACATACTATTACTACTGTGGAAAGATAATGATTTATGACTCAGATGGGACTGTTGTCTCTAGCCAGGTAATTTTCCTTGTAATCATGGGGTTATTACATTAACATTAACAAAGATAGCAGACACAAATTGCCTAGCCCAAGAATGGGCATAAAGGTAGAAATTCAATTAACTATTAGCTTCCAATTAGAAACACAGATGTCTTTAATTAAAAAGCCCACCATATGTCATTTAAACTTTATAACAACTCTATCCCTATGTTTTAAAGATCACTGAGCTTACAAAGCAAAGTAACTTTCCCAAACTAAGTAAATGGATTAGAACAAAGATTGGTCTGATTCCGAAGCCTATGCTTTCCCACACTACAGTGCATGAAGAATTTTTACAGTGCTATTTGTAGAAATATAAATGGTGATTCTTAACAAGAGGTGAAAATATCATTCCAATGAAGACGGAAAACCATTAAGGTACAGAATATCTCAAAAATCAATAGAACTATACTATCAATGTCTTTACATTAATGTACTAATTAATCCTTCCTCTTAAGAATTATTTAAGCCAAAGTTATCTATCCCAAAATATAGAGAGGCACATAATAGCTAATTCAACCAAGTATCTGAAGTGATCATAAATTTTCAAAACTTTTTTTGAGAAAGCATTTGGGCAAAGCTTTGACAACCCAAATCAAACCAAAGCAACTTATACAGAGAACTGAATTTATGTAGAGACAGAATCTGATCTACATTAAGTCAAATTCTTAAATTTCCCAATTCTGTTGCCTATAGCTTGCTATCAAAAGCTATATATACTTTTCCACAAAAATACAACCAGTACTTCTAGCTTTGTCAGATAACTATGTATCTCATGAAAACAAGCCTTTATTATATTGTCAAATTCCCTTAGAAAAAGGTTCCCTACCATATTATACTTAGATATATAGCTCCAGGGGTGGGAAAAAATTTCCACAGGAGTATCTTAGGGTATAAATTTGTAAAAATTCTCTTATCCCACAATTACAAAATTATAGGACACAATTCTAGTTGCCAGAAAATTCATAGACAATTGTTGAAGTAAAACACAACATATAAGTTATTTTAGACCTGGCATACTTCTCTTCTAATTGTTTTTATTTTCCATCATTTTATTTATGCTCCTATCTTAGTAATCTACACTAAATTACTAGGAGGAAATAAGGTATAATGAGTTAAAAAATACATATATATGGCCAATTATCTCTCAGATTAGAGCATGCCTATTAATTAAATTCAAGATGATATATTCAGTGTGAAGGTTCCTGAAAAACTTTAATCTGCCCCCACCAGCCTAAGACAATTTTCCAGGTAATGCAAGCACAGCATCGGGAGAACTGCTGTGAAAAGATGATTTATCTGTTTGAAAACAGATCACATGACTAGAAAACCAACTATAAACATGGGCCTTACTGACATCAGATCTGCAACTATAAACATATCATTATTTGCAAATGAACACCCATTTACAAAGGTTCAACAACACTGTGTGTAATAATGATAAAATATAGCTATTTATGGAAATTTGCTAGTGCCATGCACTATATGAATTACATAGTCTCATATAAATCTCACAATTCTATAAAGTGTATAGTTATTAGCAGGCCTAAAATCTGACATTCTGTCTGATTAACTACTATAATATACCACTCACCCCAAAATGTTATATAGTAGTTCACCCTTATTTATTTGGTTTTGCTTTCCATGGTTTCAGTTACACTGTGGGTCCGAAAATATTTTAATTTAACCAATCCCCTATTAGTAAATACTGAGATTGTTTCTAAAGTTTTGCTATGATATCATCATTGAATTTTCCAGAGATTGAGAATAATGTTCAGGTCAAGGAAGTACATACTAACTGACTGAAGTACAAAGGAGGCACCAGGGCATAAAACATGACTAGACAGATTAACTTTTGGACTTTGGGGCATATTATAAAGCCAGGAGTAGTGTACAGAGCTAAGATGCCAAATACTCTCAAAAACAAAAATTATCTGCCCATGTTCTGGCATCATAAATCATAAAGCATGAGTGACAGCCATTTTTGTTTATGGTATGGTTCCACCAATGTTTCATCCCAGTATATAGGGTTTGGTACTATCCAAGGTTTCAGGCATTCACTGGGAGTCTTAAAATGTATCCCCGGATGGATAAGGGAGGATTACTGTATGCTTCTCTCAATGGATATCAATTATAGACTACATTTACACATAAAAAAAGATACAGGGATCAGCAAACTTTTTCTGTAAAGGGCTAGAAATATTTTAGGCTTTGTTGGTCATAAAGTCTCTGTTGTATCTACTCAACTCTGTTCTAATATTCAAATCTGTTGTAGCACAAAAGCAGCCACAGACAATACATAAACAAATGAGTATGGCTATTTTCTAATGAAATTTTATTTATGGACACAAATTTAAATTTCATATAATCTTCACATGTCATGAAATAGTATTCTTTTGATTTCTTTTTCAAGCATTTAAAAATGTAAAAACCGCCGGGCGTGGTGGCTCACGCCTGTAATCCTAGCACTTTGGGAGGCCGAGGCGGGCGGATT